TATCAAAATAAACATGTGAGGTGAGCATCACTTTATAAATGAGTAAACTGAGTGAGGTTCAGGTGATTACTGAGCCTCAGTAAACAACCCAGAGTTCCACACAGCTGATCGCTATCGATGGCAGGTGTTGAGACCCAGGTCTTTTAGGGGTCAAAGCACCACAGTACCGCCTCCAAAAAAAAAACTGCTTTGGTTGGAATTTGGGCTGGGAAAAACATACCTCCCGTGTTAATGTGCGGGACTGCGTAGAGTGTAGGCAGGTGATACAGGATTGATCATTTCCCCAAGCTTCACTTCATTCAAGTTATTCTGAGTAGGTCGGATTCCTCTGGGCCATGATCTCTTTATCTGCATAATTAAGCTGACCTAACACTTTCCTTGCTTGCTCTAGGTCTGTTAGAAAGGTCCATTGAAATGGTTTGTGTGTTTTATAAGGTGAACACATGTTTCTTCTTTCCTCCTCTTGCAAAGTTTTGTGAGTCCTCAGTCTCATATATTCTGTCAAAACTCCGTTCTTTCCAGCCTAGGTAACATAGTGAGACCTCATCTCTGCTAAAAAATGAAAGAAGATTAGCTGGGTATGGTGTCATGCACCTGTAGTCCTAGCTATTTGGGAGGCTAAAGCAGGAGGATCACTTGAACCTAGGAGTTTGAGATTGCAGTGAGCTGTGATCACACCACTATACTCCAGCCTGGGCAACCAACTCCCAACTCTCTCTTTAAAAAAAGAAAAAGAAAGATTTAGTCTCTGGGAAGACACAATTTGCTTAAGCTCTAAACGATTACTTTTTTTTTTTTTCGAATTGGAGTCTCACTCCGTCACTCAGGCTGGAGTGCAGTGGCACGCTCGTGGCCGCCCCAGCATTGACCTGCTGGGCTCCGGCGATCCTTCCACCTCAGCCTTCCAAGTAGCTGGAACTATAGGCTCACGCTACTACGCCCGGCTAATTTTTTCATTTATTGTAGAGACGAGGTCTCGCCAAGTTGCTCAAGCAGTCCCCTCACCTCGGCCTCCCAAAGTGCTAGGATTACAGGCTTAAGCCACCACACTCGGCCTAAATGATTACTCTTTACAATGAAAATGAAAACTGGATTCTATCTGATGAACTTTTCAATAGTTGTTTACCAGCTGAAGTTTGAGGTTTATGTACATGCACATACATAGAAATTCTTACATACACGGGTTGACAATTAAATTTGCAAACTTGCCACCATGCTCTTAAATTGGCAGCACTGTACAAACAACTCAGTAAGGATTCATAGCCTTGGTATATCAGCGTCTCACAGCTGTGTTCGTATTGATGTATGGTGGTGGTTTGCTGAGTGGCATTCATTATTGTTTTTGCATGTTTTTGTGTGCCATCGCAAGAATATCAGAGCTTGAATTAGAGCAATGGACAAACATTAAATTTCTTGTTAAACTTGGCAAGATTGGAAGTGAAATCAGGATCATGTTAGTCCAAGTTTATGGGGATAATGCCACGAAGAAAACAGTAGTGTACACATGGATTAAACGTTTTTCTGAGGGGAGAGAAACTGTCACTGATGAAAGAGGTGAGGTCAGGATGGCCAGTAACAAGCAGAACTGATGAAAACATTGCAAAAATTTGTTGAATTGTGCATCAGAATCATAGGCTGTGAGAAGCATAGCAGACCAAATAAACATTGATAGAGAAACAGGAAAATCTTAATTGAAAACCTTGGCACAACCATGTACAGTGGCTCATGCCTATAATCTCAGCACTTTGGGAGGCCAAAGTGAGAGGATTGCCTGAGCCCATGGGTTTGAGACCAGCCTGGGCAACTTGACTTGACCTCTTCTCTACAATTAAAAAAAAATTAAGCTGGGCTCGGTGGCTCAGCCTGTAATCCCACACGTTGGGAGGCTGAGGTGAGTGGATTGCCTGAGCCCGCGGGTTCGAGACCCGCCTGGGCAACTTGGTGAGACCTCATCTCTACAATAAATTAAAAAAAAATTAGCCAGGTGTGGTAGCGCGTGCCTGTAGTTCCGGCTACTTGGAAGGCTGAGGCAGAAGGATTGCCGGAGCTCAGCAGGTAGAGGCTGCGGTGGCCGGGAGCGGCCACTGCACTCCAGTCTGGGTGACAGAGTGAGACTCCCACTCAAAAAAAAAAAATTAGCTGGGTGTGGTGACACATGCCTATAATTTCAGCTACTTGGAAGGCAGAAGTATCACCTGAGCCCAGCAGGTCGAGGCTGCAGTGACCAAGAGTGTGTGCCACTGCCCTCCAGCCTGGGTGACAGAGTGAGACTCCAATTTAAAAAAATAAATAAAATCTTGGCACGAGAAAGGTGTGTGCAAAAATGGCCCTGGAGGAGAGGGGCTCTTGCATCATGACAATGCACCAGTTCACACAGCACTGTCTGTGAGGGAGTTTTTAGCCAGTAAACAAATAATGATATTGGAACACCCTCCCTACTCACTTGATCTTTTTTCTTTACCCAAAGATAAAGGAAATATTGAAAGGAAGACATTTTGATGACATTCAGGACATCAAGGGTAATATGACAACAGCTCTGTTGGCCATTCCAGAAAAAGAGTTCCAAAATTGCCTTGACGGGTGGACTAGGCGCTGGCATCAGTGCATAACTTCCCAAAGGGAGTACTTCGAAGGTGACTGTAGTGATATTCAGCAATGAGGTATGTAGTACTTTCTCTAGGATGTGTTCACGAAATTGTCAGATCTCGTAGAATTAGTTCATGTAGAGTTTAAAAGAATCCAGCTGTTATAGCCAGTTATAATTATCCCTTCTAATTTATGTGCATTAAGGATTTTCTTGGTGATTTTTGTTTGTGTGTCTGTGTGTTTGTTTTTATCACTGGAAGTAAAATCTCTGCAAAGAGACTATGTGTGTTACTATATCCAGTTTGTGAATTGATTCCAGTGATTCTTGAACTCCTACCATGTTCCAAGCTCTATGTGAGGTTTAGGGTATACAGAGCAGAATAAGGTACAACCTCTGTCCTAAAGCATCTCACTGTTGTGGAGCAAGAGGCGTATAAACAACACAGGTAAACCAAAATGCAGTGGGAAGTAGGCAAAGATTTCTTAAACAGGACACAAAAAGTATTGGCCATAAAGGAAAAGATTGATAAATGGAACTTAGTTAAAATCAATAACTTCTCTTCCTCAAAAGAGAAGGAAAAGTCAAGCCACAGACTAGAAAAAAGTACTCACAATATATATACCTGACAAAGGTCTTATACCTGGAATTATAATGAACTCCTACAAACCAATAAGAAATAAAAATAACCAATAAAATGGGTAAAAGGCCGGACTCAGTGGCTCAACCTGTAATCCCAGCACTTTGGGAGGCCGAGGTGAGTGAATTGCCTGAGCCTGTGGGTTCAAGACAAGCCCAGGCAACTTGGTGAGACTTCATCTCTACAATAAATCAAAAAATTAACTGGGCATGGTAGCGCGCACCTTTAGTTCTGGCTACCTGGAAGGCTGAGGTGAAAGGCTCGCCGGAACCCAGTAGATCAACGCTGGGGTGGCCGTGAGTGTGCCACTGTACTTCAGCCTAGATGATGGAGTGAGACTCCAACTCAAAAAAAAAAGGGCAAAAGACATGAACAGGAACTTTTCAAAAAGGCTAATAAGTGTAGGAGAAGGGGCTTACTCACTAGAAAAATGCAAATGAAAACTACAAGAAGATACCACTAAACACCCACCACAATGCCTAAAATTAAAAATGTTTGTGAGAATGTAGAGAAACTGAAATTCTCACATACTGCTGGTGGGAGGGTGGTAGGGCCACTTTGGAAATCTGTTTGGCAATATCTACCAAAATGAAACATTCACCTACCCTATGATACAGTCTTACTCAGTATTCCAATAGAAAACTAGTGCAGAGTTCCTTCAAAAGATATGTATAAGAATATTCATAGCAGCATTATTTATAACAAGCAAAAATTGAAAATTTTAGGAGTAGAATGAAATGTAATATAGTCATACAATGTAATAATACTCAGCAATAAAAAAGAATATATTACATGATGAATGAATCTCACAGATAGAACACAAAAGAGATACTATGATTTCATTTTTATGAAATTCAAGTACAGCCAAAAACTGATCAATGATGATCAAAGCTGAAATGAAAACTAACACTGAGGACAAAAGATAAGGATGGGAAGAAACACACGGAAGTCTTCTGGGGGTTTGGAGATGTCCTTTACTTGATGTGTGTGTTGGTTCATCTGGGTGTACATGTAAAACTTCATGAAATCTTATCATTAATATATGTGCATTTCACTGGATGTATGTAATCTCTACATTTTTAAAAAAATGCCACGGGAGCACAGAGGAACAGGTGCCTAACTGAGTGAAAAAATCAGAGAAGATTTCCTGGGGATATTTGAACTGGATCTTGACTAGGGCCCTGTCCAAAGAGTTTCTCTCCCGTGCAGAAAGCACCACAAAATGCTCAATAGTTTGGTGCCACTGGTATAGGATGATGGTGACCTAGGCCTTGAACAAAAAAGTGAGAAAGTCTACTACAGGAACCATGTAACACAGCCAGTCAGCCAAGGACAAAGAGGGGAGAATGACAAGGGGGAAATGGTGGCTGCTCTGCTTGGCGCTGTTCTTCCGAAGAGCCCAAATTCTTTGAGGGGTGAAGGCCAGGTACAGCTGGTATGTGGGAAAGTATTGTTGCTTGGGGAAGAACGGAGGGTGAAGTGTTTCTCCTGGTGCATTCAGTGACTCATGAGGCCATGTCTCCTGTTTCCTTTCTTAGAATCACATGAAAATGAGCAGAGGCTGGGTCATCAGGAGAGGCTCTCCAAGAGGAATGGAGGCCTGTGGGCAGTGGTGCCCACACACACACACACACACACACACACACACACACACACACACACACGCACACACTGACACATCTGGGTGACCTCTACATATATAGAGAGCCTCCCTGGCCCTCCTGGAAAGAGTCCTGAAAAAAGGAACCTTCAGGTCTGCCCCTGCAGGAGTCCTAGCTGGGGCTGCAGGAGTGACGGCCCACTCTGAAGAGGGAGCCCTTCTCCAGGTTCTTTCCCTCCCTTCCTGATCCTTGCCACCAGATGCAGGTAAGCAGAGATGAAAGGGTCTGGCCAGGGAACAGTACAGCCTAGAGGTTAAGAGCACACCCTTCAGCCCTGGCTCTGCCACTTGAGGGCTGTGTGACTTCAGGCAATTCAGTCAACTTCTTTCACCGGACTCTATCTGTTGACTTCAGGTCTTTGTACATGCCTAGAATACTTTTCCCGGTTTAATGCCTCATTGTTAGTCAAGTTTTAGCTTGGAGAGCACTTCCTCCAGGAGCCTTTGCCTTGCTTCTGCAGGCTAGGATTAGGTGCCTCTGTGAGTGTTCCTCATGCCTTCTGTTAGACACCTCTTCTTGGTACTTATCACACTTCATTACAATCGCTTTTTGCCTTGGCTGTGTTCCCGCTAGTTCCTCAAGAAAAGGGACTGTGTCTTATACTTGTATCCCTGCCTGGCAGGTTGTAGTCCCTTAATAAGTATCTGACTGATGAAGAAATGAAAGAAAAGGCTGGCTAGGTGGTAAGGGCGGTAACGAGGCCCACAGAGAATTTGCTGCCTCTTCCTCCATATACTTTAGCCAATCCCTTCTATCGTTTCCCTGACACTTAGCTGAGGATTTGTTCACACAGCAGGATCTCAGGTAAGGGCCTCCTCTACAGCCTGGTTTTAAAATCTTACCCTCCGATCCTCTTTGTCTCTTCGGATATCAGATCAGCCAACCTCTCTGCTAGTCTCTTGGCTCACATTTTTGGAAGCATTTCTCAAAACATTGTAATTTCTAGGGTAACAAAGTCAGGAAGAGGAAGTGAAATTCAAATGAAGCCACAGCCTCCTAGGTCAGCACAGGAAGTGTGTTTAAGGTTAGCAGACAGCTAGGATTATCTGAATTCCTCTCATCTACGAGGCCACGCCCAAGTTTTCCCTCTACGTGTTCGTCATTTTAATTTTCCCTTCTAAGACTTTCCTGTAGAAAAAATTTCCATGAAAGAGATTGTCAGAGAGGTTGATTTTGTTGCTCTGTGTCTAGACAGGCCTTATGCACCGGTGGTTTGATTTGAAGGCGCTGAAGGCATTCCTGAAGGAAAGCGTCTCCTGGCCTAGTGGTCTAGAGCACGCGCTTGAAAGGCCAACCACACCACAGTCCTTATTTGGGCTCCTGTCAGTCATCTGAGGGGAGAGTGAGTTAAAGTTGTGGCTTGCTGACACCCTTGCTAATGGTTCATTCACCTCAACACAGAAACACACACAGAGCCCTGCACTGAATGATGGGACAGTCTGGTGAGGGAGGCTGCCCAGACGTGCACCGGCCTCACAACAGGATCGACAGACCGTGGGAAGGGCCATTCATTGTCCTGTAGGTGCCCTGTCACCTGGCAGCAGGACGGGCTCCTCACCCTGACTGAGGACCTGAGCAACTAGTGCAAGGAGGCTGATTTCAGGAAAAGAGGCCTCCACGGACAGCCAGCTGGGCGCAGGTGGAGGGGTGAGGAGGGAAGAGACACACACCTGCCCTCCTGAGTGCTGACCCCCACCCTTCCCTCCAGGCCTTGGACCTCTGGGGTAAGGGACACTGTTCCTTTGTATCCCAGCCCCAACTTTCCCCATATGCCCCTTTCTTCTTGGCCTGGACTTCTTTCGTCTGGGACAAGTTATTCTATTCGCTGGGAGAGGCACGAATCAGAGGGCTAATGCCCCAAGGAGAGGGAAGGAATGAGGCAAAGGCAACTCCTCACCCCAAAACATGAGAGTTGCAGCAGGAAGTTCCCTGTTGGGGGAGGGGCGGGAGATAAGTTCTGAGGTGAGAAGAAGCAGAGGTCACCCACCGCTGAGGGGGTGAGGGTAAGGGAGTTGGGGTCAAAGCCCATCCTCTCCCCACTTGCTGTGACTGTCACTCGTCTCTTTACCGTGAGCTGCAATCTGGATAAGTAGAAAACGCTAGGCTAATCAAGTTTTCACAAAAAAGTTGAGTTCCTAAATTGTAAAACTTTTAAGAAGGTATGATAGGCCAGGTGTGGTGGCTCAAGCCTGTAATCCCAGCTCTTTGGGGGGCTTAGGTGTGAAGATTGGCTGAGCCCACGGGTTTGAGTCCAGCCTGGGCAACATGGTGAGACCTCATCTCTACAATAAACAAAAAACTTAGCTGGGTGTGGTAGCATGCACCTGTGGTTCTGGCTACTTGGAAGCCTGAGGTGGAAGTATCGCCAGAGCTCAGCAGGTCAATGCCGGGGTGGCCGTGAGCATGCCACTGCACTCCAGCCTGGGTGATGGGGTGAGACCCCAACTCAAAAAAAAAAAAAAAAAAAAAAGTATGATAAAAACAAAATATGGAATTGTCATTCCTGAGAAAAGAGTCCAGGAAGGTGGTATAGAATTGGAAATGGCATACCTGAGGCCTCAGTGATAGTATTGGTAATGGCCTATTTTTAAAATTAGTTGCATTTACATGAATATTGTTTAATTACCAGGGGACCTCCCTCCTCCCAAAAAACAGAATTATCTTTTGGAGGGCCTGCCCCTTGTAGTGCACTCTGAATCTGTTCTTCCAGATCAAACAGTCGTCCAGTTTTAATCTGGAATATTTGAGAAGGTTACATGACCATTTGCGAAGAAACTTCCCAAGTTGTGGCAAACAGGTGACTGGTTCTTCTACCATGATGACATACCTGCCCACACTGCACTGAGTGTTCAGCAGTTTTGAACCAAAAACGGCATGACCCCCTTGCCCCACACTCCCTATTCACCTGACCTTGCCCCAAGAGACTTCTTATTTACCTGGATGAAAAAAGTCCTCAAAGGGAAGCATTTTGCCATGTGGAAGAGGTGAAAAAAAAACGACAGAAACACTAAAAGGCATCAAAATTGACAAGTTCAGAAACCATATTGAGCAGTGGAAAAAGTGTCTCAATACGCATATTGCATCAAATAGAGAATACTTTGAAGGTGATTGAAGTTTAAGCATGTGAGAATAATTACACAATTTTTAATAAATTTCAGGGTTTTTTTTTTTAGTCTCCCTTGTATCCCACACAAGTTACAAGTACAAATATATATTATACCTTATATTTAATTCTTTACACTCTGAAATATCTCACTGTGTATGTTATTATATACAGTAGTTCCTTCTTATCCTCAGTTTTGCTTTCTGAGGTTTCAGTTACTCTTGGTCAACTGTGGTCAGAAAATATCACACATGGTAAGATACTTTGAGACAGACCACATTTACATAACTTTTATTATATCACTTATAATTGTCCTATTTCATTATTATTGTTGTCAATCTCTTCCAGTGCCTAATTTATAAATTAAATGTTATCATATGTATGTTTGCATAGGGAAAAACAGTACAGAGGTCCCAGACTTTTAACGGCTCAACTTAAAAATTTTCCAACTTTGTGATGGTTTATAGGAACTTAACCTCAACATAAGTCAAGGAGCTCCTTACAACTAACTTATGATAGGGTTATGTTTTCTACTGTATGCATGTCACTTTCTTACCATTGTAAAGTAAAAAAATTGTAAAGTCAAACCATTGTAAGTCTGAGACTATCGGCTGTGTTGCCAGCATTCAATGCCTATTCAACTTAATATACTTTTGACTTATGGTGGGCTTATCTGGGCATTCACTGGGGCGTCTTGGAAATATCCCCTGAAAATAAAAAGGTGCTACTCTATGGGTGTGTGTGTATGCACATTATCATACATTACATATGTATTATATATATGTGTGTGTGTGTGTGTGTGTATATATATATATATATAGACAGAGAGAGAGAGAAAGAGAAATGAAGAGAGCATCTTGGGCTCTGGGTGCCAGGAGGGCAAAAATGTGCGAGACCCGCATTTTCACATTTCTGATTTTTTTTTTTTTTTTTTTTGAGTTGGAGTCTCACTCTGTTACCCGGACTGGAGTGCAGTGTCATGCTCACACCCACCGCAGCCAAGACCTGCTGGGCTCCGGTGATCCTTCCGCCATAGCCTTCCAAGTAGCTGGAACTACATGCACACGCTACCACGCCCAGCTAATTTTTTGATTTATTGTAGAGATGAGGTCTCGCCAAGTTGCCCCGGTGGGTCTCGAACCCGCGGGCTCAGGCAATCCACTCACCTCAGCCTCCCAAAGTGCGGGATTACGGGCTGAGCTACCAAACCTGGCTTCATATTTCTGATTAATGTAAAGCAACATATTATAGAAGAATGTCAACAGTCTTAAGGGGGACAAACAGTAACTGAACTACAAAGTGGGAATGGATCACTTCCTGGGGATGCTGTGTCTGTGGATCTATCCACATATTACTAGTCCTATTTTAATGCACACTTTATTATTATTTTTATTAAAAAAATTTTTTTTTGAGTTAGTCTCACTGTCACCCAGGGTAGAGTACAATGGCACGCTCAAGGCCACTGCAGCCTCGACCTCCTAGGCTCAGGCGATCCTTCTGCTTCAGCCTTCCAAATAGCTGGAACTACAGGCATGCACCATTGCACCTGGTTAATTTATCTTGATTTATTGTGGAGATGAGGGCTTGCCAAGTTGCCCAGGCTGGTCTCAAACTCATGGGCTCAGGCAATCCTCTTACCTTGGCCTCCCAAAGTGCAGGGATTATAGGCATGAGCCACCGCACCTGACCTTAATTGCACACTTTATAAAAACAACAAAAAGTTCACATATCAGTGAAAATATAAAAGGGAGAAAGGAGATAAGAAAAGAAGTAGAGGAAGCATGTTATAATTTATCTAGATATGATATTTAATTTTTAATCAGGTTTATTGGTATATAAGTAAATTCAATAAAGTTCACACATTTTAATTGTACAGTTTGATGAATTTCATCAATGCATACAGTTATTTATTCACCACCAGAATCTAGATATAGAATATGCCTCACCTCAAAAAGTATCTTTATACCCTTATATTCATCTTCTCTCCCATGCCCAACACCTGGCAACTACTGATCTGTTTTCTGTTACTAGTTTTGCCCCTTCTAGAATTTCACATGTATAGGACCAGACAGAGAGTAATCATTAGTTTCTGGCTTCTTTCACTTCCATAATTTTTTTGAGATTTGTTCCTGTTATGTGTATTAGTAATTTACTTATTTTTACTGTTGGGTAGTAGCACTCAATTGTATGGATGTAATACAATTTGTCTATTCACCTACTGATGAACATTGGGTTATTTCTAATTTTTTAATTTGTTTTTTTATTGTGGTAGTTTATATAATATAAAATTTGTCATTTTAACCATTTTAAAGTGTACAATTCAGTGGTATTATTTCCATTTGCAATATTGTGCAACAATCACCATTTTCTATTTCCAAAGTTTTCATCACTTGTCAGCATGAAACAATAACTTCCCATTCTCCCCTCCTCTTAGTCCCTGATAACCTTTAATCTACTTTCTGTCTCTTCAAACTTGCCAGTTCTGAATATTTCATATAAGTGGAATCATACAATACATGTCCTTCAGTGTCTGGCTTAACATAGTACCTTCGTTTAGCATAGTGTTTTCAAGTTTCACACATGTTGTACCATGCATCAGAACTTCATTTCTTTTTATGACTGAATGATACACAATTGTATGTATATACCATATCTTGTTTATCTATTCATCTGTTGATGGACATTTGAGTTGTTTCATATTTCTAATTTTTAGTTACTATAAATAAAGCTGCTATGGACATTCAAATACTAGTGTTTGTGTGGGCATGTGTTTTCATTTCTCTTGGATAAACATGTAGACATAGAATCACTTACATTTGGTAAGTGAATGTTTAACTTTAGAAGACACTGCCAAGCTACTTTCCAAAGTGGCTGTACCATTTGCATTGTATGAGGGCACCAGTGATGTATGAGGGGTTTAGTTGGTCAATATCCTTGACAACACTTGGTGTAGTTCCATGTTTTTAATTGTAACAATTCCAGTGGGTGCATATTAGTATCTCATTTTGGTTTTAATTTGTATTTCCCTTTGTTAATAACATTGAGCATCTTTTCATGTTCTCGGTTGTCATGCATATATCTTCTTTTGTGAGATGAAACAAAGCATCTATCAAATCTTTTCCCATTTTTAATTCAACTGTTTGTCTTCTTATTATAGTGTTTTAAGAGTTCTTTATATATTTTTAGATACAAGTCCTTTGTCAAATGTGTATGTAGCCGGGCTCGGTGGCTCAGCCTGTAATCCCAGCACTTTGGGAGGCTGAGGTGAGTGGATTGCCTGAGCCCACGGGTTCGAGGCCCGCCTGGGCAACTTGGTGAGACCTCATCTCTACAATAAAATCAAAAATTAGCTGGGCGTGGTAGTGCGTGCCTGTAGTTCCAGCTACTTGGAAGGCTGAGGCAGAAGGATCGCTGGAGGCCAGCAGGTCGAGGCTGCAAGTGGCCGGGAGTGGCCACTGCACTCCAGTCTGGGTGACAGAGTGAGACTCCAACTCAAAAAAAAAAAAAAAAAGTGTATTCACATTTCTGTACATTTCACAAAGTATGTATTGTAAATATTTTCTCCCAATCTGTAGTTTGTCGTCTCATTTTCTTAATGGCTTCTTTTGAAGAGCACATTTATAATTTTTAAGTAGTCTAATTTGTCATTTTTTACACATTGTATTTTTTGTTGTTTATTAAGAAACCTTTGTCTAACCCATGGTCCCAGCAATTTTCCCCTTTGTTTTCTTCTAAAATTTTTAGAAAGTTTTTAGGTGTATGATGTATTTCAAGTTAATTTTTGAATATAGTATAAATAATCAAGGTAAAATTTTTTGTTTTGCATATGTGTTGTTCCAGCACCATTTGTGGAAGATACTATCCTTTTTCCACAGAATTATGAGGGGAGACCCCCAACAAACCAGAATTACTTTTTAGGAGGGCGGGGCACTTGTAATACAGGTTTCCCCCACTAGGTTAGAGGTTAGTGTTCCGGAAATCTATCAACATCAGTGTACCAGCTAGCATTGTTGTGAGAAGCTGTGCTTGGGTTCAGTGAATTTCTTCTGAAGATTCGTTCAACGTGTTTGCCCATTTCATGATGAGTGATTTACAAATGCATCTGCCCACACGTGCTGAGTATTCAGCAGGTTTTGACCAAAACCAGCATGACCCCCATACCCCACCCTCCCTATTTACCCAATTTCGCCCCAAGCAACTATTTTTTTGTTTCTCCAGATGAAAAAGTACTCAAAAGGAAATATTTTGCTGATATGAAAGAGGTGAGACAAAGAACGGCAGAAGCACTTAAAAGGTATCAAAATTCATGAGCTCAAAATCTGTTGAAGGCTGGGCTCGGAGGCTCAGCCTGTAATCCCAGCACTTTGGGAAGCGAGGCAAGTGGATTGCTTGAGCCCACGGGTTCCAAACCAGCCTGGGCAACATGGTGAGACCTTGTCTCTACAATAAATCCAAAAATGAGCCAGGTGTGGTAGCATGCGCCTGTAGTTCCGGCTACTTGGAAGGCTGAGGCAGAAGGATAGCCGGAACTCAGCAGGTTGACGCTGGGGTGGCCGTGAGCATGCTGCACTCCAGCCTGGGGTATGGAGTGAGACTCCAACTCCAAAAAAAAAAATCTGTTTTTAGCAGTGGAAAAAGTCTCTTTATGGGTATATTGCATAGAATGGAAAGTACCTTGTAGGTGACTGAAGTTCAAACATGTAAGAATAAATACACACATTTTTATAAATAAATTCAAGTTTTTTGGGTCCCCCTCATACACCTTTCCAAAAACCATTTATCATTTATCATATACATAGGTATTTTTCTGTACTCTCTAGTCTGTTCCAGTAGTCTATATGTTTTTTCATGTCATGACTTCATTATCTTAATTACTGTAACTTTATAATGAGTCTTGAACAATGTAAGTTCCCCAACTTTGTTCTTTTTCAAAATTGTCTTGGCTAATCTAGGTCTTTTGCATTTGCATATAAATTTAAATTAAGGTTGTCAGTTTCTACAACAAAATTCTGCTAGGATTTTGATGGAGATTGCTTTGAATCTCTGCATCAATTTAGGGAGAATTGACATGTCAATGATATTAAGTCTTCTGGTCCATGAACATGGTATATGTCTCCATTTACTTAGATCTTCATTCATATTTTTTATCAGTGCTTTGTAGTTCTTAGTATATTGGTCTTGCACATATTTTGTTAGATTTATCTGTAAGTATTTATACTTTATGCTATTGTAAATGGTATTATTTTAATTTTAATCTTCAATTTGTCATTACTTGTGTATAGAAATACAATAGAATGTTTGTATATTACTTTAATCTTGCTAAGTTCACCTACTAGTTCCAGTAACTTTTTGACAGACTCCTTAGGATTTTTTGCATATATATGATATATTATCTGTGAATAATGACAATGTTGCTTCTTTTATTTCCTTATTGCGCTGAATAGGATCTCCTTAGAATGCTGACTATACGTGGTAAGAGTGGACATCATGATGACATCTTTAAAATTTTGTTTTCTTTGCCAAATAGAAGTAACCACTGTAATAGAGGCTCAAGCAAAATATGATGGGATATGAAGTGTGTATGTGTGAGCAGGGGTTAGCAGAAAACGAAGCAAGTACATCCTGTTAAATGGGAAAGATTTATAAGGGGCAGAGTTTTTCAACAAGTTCCTTGGTTCTCCTTGATCTGACCCTGTAAGATGACAGTTTCTGTAGCCTGTTTCCCCCACCACCCATGCTTTCTACCCCATACTCCCAGCAGCAGTCCTGCCATGACTCTCTTTCCATCTGTTTCAGGATGCTGTCCTCTCCCTGCGTGTTGGCATGCTCACGGACTTGCTCCCGCATCTTGGGGTTGAGTCTCGGGACTGCAGCCCTGTTTGCTGCTGGGGCCAACATGGCACTCCTCTTTCCTAATTGGGATGTTACCTACCTGTTGAGGGGCCTCATTGGTAGACATGCCATGTTGGGCTCTGGCCTCTGGGGAGGAGGTGTCATGGTGAGTGTCTGGGTTACCCTGGGTGTGAACTCCCAAAGTGTCTCCAGGCGTGGAAGAGGAAGGTGGTGGAGGAGGAGTGTTTTGATTCCTTGCAAGAACAGCTTATTCTAACAAGCTGGTTCTGGGTTCATAGAAGCTCCAAGGGATAAGAAGACTAGCTGGATTTTAGCTTGGCAGTATGCAAGCTAGGTGTGAAAGTTAGTGTCCACAGGGGTAGATCAGGCTAATCATCCCAAAGTGGGCCCCAACTGTCAAAGCCAGTAGGACAATTGAGCCCACGTGAGGTGCTCAACCACTCTATTTCAACAGTTATGGGTAGCCGCTAGAAACGGCTGGAAAAGTAAATTCCCCAATCTCTTCTTAACATTCTTCTTTTCTCTCCAGGTACTCACTGCAGCTATTCTCATCTCCTTGATGGGCTGGAAAAATGGCTGCTTCAGTAAGAGTGGGCTCTGTCTAAATGTAAGCACCAGATTCTACTTTTCTAACACTGAAAATGATTCCACATGCTATTACTCTAGAGGCAGAGTGGTCAAGAGGCAATTTTGATCTTGAGGCTTTAAGTCAGGTCTTGATCATGACACCCCCCCGCCTTTTTTTTGAGTTGGAGTCTCACTCTGTTGTCCAGACTGGAGTGCAGTGGCATGCTCCCGGCCACCGCAGCCTTGACCTACTGGGCTCCGGTGATCCTTCCGCCTCAGCCTTCCAAGTAACTGGAACTACAGGCGCACGCTACCACGCCCGGCCAATTTTTGATTTATTGTAGAGATGAGGTCTTGCCAAGTGGCCCAGGCGGGTCATGAACCCGCTGGCTCAGGCAGTCCACTCACCTCGGCCTCCCAAAGCATGGAATTACAGGCTGAGCCACCAAGCCTGGCCTGATCATGCCCCCTTAATACTCTAAGCTCTCGGGCAAGTTGCTTAACCTCTTCAACTTCAGGTCCTTATCTGTAAAACGGGAGCTAATCAAGAAAGGGGGGTAAGTGCTTAGTGAATCACATTTGCATGTCAATACAAATGTGAGGAACTGTTATTTTTTTTAGCCTATTGAACAATATGGACAATAAATCATTTATGCACATTGTAATCATGTGTCATTGATGGAAAATTTCCTGGCTATTTGAACTAATGTTTTCTTAGAACAGGAAGATTTTCCAGAGATGATCTAATCACTGGATTCTAATCTCCATTTTACAGATAATGAAACTGAGGGCCCAGAATAAATTTGTGGGTTTTTAAAAATTTTTTTATTTTTTGAGTTGGAGTCTCACTCTGTCGCTCAGACTGGAGTGCAGTGGCCGCTCCCGGCCACCGCAGCCTCGACTTGCTGGGCTCCGGCGATCCTTCCGCCTCAGCCTTCCGAGTAGCCGGAATTACAGGCATGTGCTACCACGCCCGGCTGATATTTTTGATTTATTGTAGAGATGAGGTCTCGCTGCCCAGGTGGGTCTCGAACCTGCGGGCTCAGGCGATCCACTCACAGGCTGAGCCACTGAGCCCAGCAAATTTGTGTATTTATACTTGATTAATTATAGCAGCAACTGTGTAAGTTTAAAATTCTCTGTTTCTCTCTCTTTCTTTATACACACATGCACTCGCGCACACGCACACAGACACACACACATATAATGATATGCTGCATACAGTCTCAGACATGAATTTGTGGCCTCCTTAAGTAACTCCACAGCCTGCCCTGATGTCTGCGGCCCACATATTGGGAACCCCACTGACTCAGATTCACATGTTAAATAAAGAAATATAAACACCAGTACATTTCATTCATAGTCTGTCTGGTTTTCCCCTAGTCGAGTAGTTCTTAAATCTGAATGCACATTAGAGTCACCTACAGGGCTTGCTAAAACACAGATTGCTGGGCTCCATCCCCAGAGTTTCTGATTCAGGAGATCTGGGGTGGAACAGAAGAATTTACATTACTAGCAAGTTCTGCCAGGTCAGGGACCACTTTTGGAGAACTACTGTCCCAGGCTTATGGCAACTAATTCATATTGAATCTTTTTTTTTCTTTTTTTTGGGTTGGAGTCTCACTCCATCACCCAGACTGAAATGCAGTGGCATGCTCACGACCACCCCAGCGTCCACCTGCTGGGCTCTGGCAATCCTTCCGCCTCAGCCTTCCACTGAATCTTTTAACTCAGAGTCAAAACTTACTACACACCTTCCTCTGATGCCTCCCCAGCTCTCAACCAGGTTGACAGCAGTGGGAAAATTACTCTATGACTCTACAGAAAACCTCTAGATAGGTTTTATTCAAATTTTAACAATATGTATGTATTCTTTGAGAGGGAGAAAAAAAAAATCCCCAGGACCCTAAGAAAGAAGCCAATATGGAAGCAGACAAGAAACCTGCTGAGGAAAGAAATCCATTGTTGTCTTCTGGGAGAGAAATAATAGAACACAGACTAGTAACCAAAGGAACTCTTGATTGGAAAAACACAATGACAGAACTGGAGTCCTTCCAGAGTTGAGCTGCAGTTGTACACTCTCTCCTCTTTCTGTTTCTCTTCCTTCCTTCCCTTCTTCCCTTCCTCCTTCCTTCCCTCTTTTCTTTCGTCCCTCCCTCCCTCTCTCCCTCCTTTCCTTTCTTCCTTCCTTCTTCCTTCTTTCCTTTTATGCTTGATTTGAGGAAGAGAAATCAGAATTGGGAGCTTGTAACTTTTAAAAGTAGAGCTTTTCCTTAAAAGAGTCAGAGGTGGGCATGCGATAATGACCCTGCCCCTTTAACTCAGAGGCTGCATCGCTGTAGTCTGTGTGCAAAGGTTTTTGATGCCAATTTGCTAGGACACTCAGAAGAGCCTGCTAAGTCAGAGAGCTCTAGGTCTCTGTTTCCCATTCTCAGCCCTTTCTCTCCCAGTCTTTCTTGGTTCCACCCAGGAACCTCTCATCAGCCACCTCACCTTGGGTTGTGCTTTAAATAAGGTGTCATGGAGAGTTGTCCCTGTGACCGGATGTGAGAAAGCCTGAGAGCCAGAGAAGTTAGACTCAACTGGCTCGCCCCACAAGGCATCCAGCCGCGACCACAACCTCATCTCAGTGCACTGTTTCTTCCCTCCCTCTGCAGGTGCTTACGGCCCTGTTGTCAAGTGGCCTGGCTTTACTTGGAGCCTTAATTTGCTTCATCACTTCTGGAGTAGCTCTGAAAGATGGTCCTTTTTGTATGTTTGATGTCTCATCCTTCAATCAAACACAAGCTTGGAAATATGGTTACCCATTCAAAGACCTGCATAACAGGTAAATGGATGTAGACTTGAATTTTCAGTCTTTTTTCAGAGACAGAGAGGGGGTGGGCAGACAGGGTCAGATGGACCACACACTCCCTTGGGTCTTACATTCTAGCATCTTGTTCCTCTGACACTCAGAAAATTACAAATGCAGCAGTAGCAGTTACCCTCACGAGTCCAGTCTTGTGACTGACCAGAAGAGACCCCAGCTTTTTTTGGGGGTTGTTTGACTTTCATTACTTATTCCCCAATTCTTGGTCTCCTTGTTTTTTGGAACAGAAATTATTTGTATGACCATTCACTCTGGAACTCCGTCTGCCTGGAGCCCTCCAAAGCTGTTGTTTGGCATGTGTCCTTCTTCTCGGCCCTTCTGTGCGTCAGCCTGCTCCAGCTTCTCCTGGTGGTCATTCATTTCATCAACAGCTTCCTGGGCCTTTTCTGCAGCCTCTGTGAGAAGTGAAAGGCAACGCCCTTTCACGCATGGGTGTTTTCATCATAAGCTACCAAAAACCCTTTCTGCAAGTAATGGGCTTGAATTATAAACAAACTTCTCTTTTAGGTATCTGTGTAGTAACAATAACAATGAAAATTAGCCAGGTGTGGTGGTGTGCATCTGTAGTCCCAGCTATTTGGGAGGCTGTGGTGGAAGGACAGCTTGAGTCCATGAGGTGGAGGATGGGGGAAGCCGTGATTGTGTCATTGCACTCCAGCTTGGATGACACAGTGAGAGCCTGTCTCTAAAAAAAGATAAATAAATAAGTAAACAAATATTAAAATAACAACAACATCAAAATTCATTGCGTTTAGGATGAATGATATAATGCTTTTAAAGTACATCATAAACCTCAAGGCGATACATTACTAGAAGAAATAATTAGGTTATTAGAATTGTGTAGGAACTGATAGTCCATAAAATATCCTCCAGGCCGGACTCAGTGGCTCAGCCTGTAATCCCAGCACTTTGGGAGGCCAAGGAGAGTAGATTGCCTGAGCCCACGGGTTCAAGACCAGCCCGGGCAACTTGGTGAGACCTCATCTCTACAATAAATAAAAAAGTTAGCCGGGCGTGGTAGCACGTACCTGTTGTTCCAGCTACTTGGAAGGCTGAGGCAGAAGGATCTCTGGAGCCCAGCAGGTCGACGCTGGGGTGGCTGTGAGAATGCCACTGCACTCCAGCCTGGGTGATAGAGTGAGACTCGAGCTCAAAAAAATATATATCCAGTCATGATCTCATTTCTGCCTCCTGATAATGTCATAGAACTGGCCACATGTGACAGAGAAGTTGAGGCTCCCAGAGGATAATGGGCGTGCTACCCCAAAGCACGCAGTGAGGTTAAGGTAAAGTCAGCACCCAACCCCCATCTCCTAAATTCAAGTTCACTCATTGTTATGGACTGAATTATGTTTCCTCAAAATGCACAGGTTGAAGTCCTAACCCTCAATGTGACTATTTGGAGATAGAACCTTTAAGGCAGTAATTAAGATTAAATGAGGTCATAAGGGTGGGACCCTAATCAGATAGGACAGAAATACTTATAAAAAGAGGAAGAAATACCAGATTTCTGTGCATGAGCTCAGAGAAAAAGGCCATGTGAGGCCACAGCAAGAAGGTAACCATCTGCAAGTCAAGGGGAAAGGCCTCAGGAGAAACCAAACTTGCCAGCACCTTGATCTCGGACTTGTAGGCTCCAGAACTGTGAGAAAATAAATTTCTGTTGTTTCAGCGACCCAGTCTGTGTATTCTGTTATGGCGGTCCTAGCAGACTAACACACCAACGTTCTTTTCATTAGTGTTCAGTAGAGTTCAACAAATAGTATATCCCGAGTCCCAACTGTGCCATGCATGCCGCAGATCCGAAGGTAACCAAGACATGATCTTTGCCCTTGGACTCTGCCTTTCCACTGAAGCACCCATCATCAGGTCAGGGAAACAAACACATCTACTAATGACTGGAGCATCAAATGCCACAAGAGAGCTCAGCACAGGTGTAACGAGAGCTTGGACCTCCTGGGAGAGGGCCTCGGAGAGATCGGGGAAGGCCTCGGTTGTGCCTGAGCTGATACTTTAGAGAGTTAGACCAGCAGAGAGGGAAGAAAGGGTTTCCCAGCAGAGGGAACAGCATACTCAAAGGCATGGAGGGGAGACACGGGCTAGTGTGGTGGAAGACTGTGATGCCACGGCTGCTTCTAACATGGAACCCGGAAAGCAGAGGCCTCCTGTTTCCCCACTTTAGGGTCTTTGGTCAGGGTATGGTGCTGGGTGGTGAGAAGAGTCAGAGTGGGATGAAGGAGATGCTGGGGGAAAGTCTGATGCAAGGGACAGGAAGAACCCAAGGCAGGCAGAAGAAGCCTGGGAAGAACCAGGAAGATGGATACTGGCAAGAGAAGAGGTGGTGGGCAGGCACAGGAAATGAGTTCGAGAACTTCAAGCTCCGTTTGCCACAGAGTGGACAAAGCCAGCAGGGGAATTTGGGCCCCAAGTCCTACTGTTTCCCTTCCTCTGTTCCCTGGATCCCAGCTCCATCCCAGCACTGTCCCAGGCCACGGAGGAGCTGCCAAAGCACTGAAGGCCTCCAGGACACAGCAGCTCCTCTGTCCCCAGGGCTCACGGCATGGTTCTGTCATCAACAGTCAAACTAGAAGAGCCTGCAGGAGTTGGGTCCCTTCAAACACAACCTCACCCTTTCTCTCCAGAGCTGCTGGTCCAAGGGCCTGTCCAGGTGGGGAAGGTGGACAGATAGACCTGACAGAGACAGAAGGAGGCAAAACATCTTCAGCAGGCAGGGAGTCCCAAAGTCCAGGCACCACATCGTATTCCTGCATACAGTATCCAGAGCATTGCCTGTGTTTGTAACACATTTCCCTGTTGGCTGATTTAGTTTCGGGGTCATGGCTAGGTTGTGCCTGATACATAGAAGTTTCTCCTGCAGGAGAAAGGTATAGACACCTCCATACAACTAACGGAGAATGTAAAGATAATTTCTATCTAGTTCTGGACATGTTAGGCACGTGCACACCGATCACAGATGCATGAACACTCACACACACCAGGCCCACAAGTCCCATCCTGGCTCAGCCCTATTTTGATGGGTCAACAGGGCCCCAGGGTGAGAGGTCAGTCCTTGGCACTAAGATAATTGTGGATGGTTGACTCTTGTCTCCATCCTTTCGAGAATCTCATGTTAGTGTAGAACCTGACAGGGCTTCGAAGGACAATGTCCCCATCCCCTGCCCCAGCGAGGCCAGTCATTCTCTTCTTCAGATTCTGCACACGCAGGGTGATCCTCCTACAGTTGGCTGCTGACATCCCCAGATCTCAAAGTGCACAAGGTTGAAAATGAGAGTTTGAGGTGAAGTCTGAGATCCTGAAGTGCAGTGTCATTGGGTGAAGGTGCAATATCCCTGACTCCTAGAGACACTCTGATCTGCTAGAACAGCTCATTTATCTTCTCTCCTCACGATTAGGGTCCTGGATGTGGGGAGAAGGGCCTTTGAAAGGCATTGGGAAGCAGAGAGAAAAGGAGAAGAGAGGAAGAAAAAGGTGAGGAGAGGAGAGGAGAGGAGAGAGGAAATGAGGAGGGGATAGGAGAGGAGTGAGGACAGGAAGTTCTGCATTCATTCTACCATGGGGCCTTTGACCGTCCACACCTGGCTTTTGGTTGCTCTCTGTGGGATTCCAGAGGGCACCCGCATCCCCTTCCTTCTGCCTATGTCCCAGGACCACCTCACATTTGGGATAGGTTTTCACCCTATGCCCCCTGCCCCCTCAAATAAAAGCTACATCTGGCTCCTGGTTTGGCTTCCAACTACTATGCTGGACAGAGGGGCTTATACTAATCTGTTCAACGGGATGGTGTTAAGTAAACATTTTGTTAAGAAGAAAATCTGTCTCTTACTTTGTGTGTGCCTTCTTGAATATCATCCTGAATATCAAACCTGGAATGAAGAGAATGTTTCCTTGTTCATAATTCAGCTCAGAGACAGTAGGCCTATCTCCAGAATAGGCTGTCATTCAGCTTTGAGTTTGGACAAAGGACATTTCTAACAAACATAACATCTGGCATTATGGTTCAGGAGAGTATAGAGGTATGACAACTCAGTTTATGCAGCACATGCTCATGAACTGAGTTCTTTTACTATGGAACAACTGGGACAGTTGGAGATCTCCGAGTAGGTCTGAAGATTAGGTGGCAGTAATGTATCTGTGTTAATTTCCTGGTTTTGATGGTTGCAGTCTTGTTAAGTAGGAGAATGTCCTTGTTTGCAGGAGATACATGAAAGCATTGAGGGTGATGAACTTAGCAATATACAGTTGGTCCTCCATATTTGTGGGTTCTGCATCTGCAGATTCAACCAACCATGGATCAAAAATATTTGGGGAAAAAATATTTTAAAAATACAGTATAGCAATTATTTGCATAGCATTTACATTGCATTAGGTATTATAAGTAACCTAGAGAAGATTTAAAGTATATGGGAGGATGTAGGTTATATGATGATACTACACCATTTAATATCAGGGACTTGAGCATCCTTGAATTTTGGTGTCTTTGGGAATGGGGGGAGGGAGGCGGTCCTGAAACCAGTCCCCCTTGAATATGGAGGGAAAACTGTACTCTCAAAAGGTTTAGGAAAAAACCTTCTTTGTACTATACTTGCAGCTTGCAACAAGTATGAGATTGTTTCAAATTTTTAAAATTTGGGGGAAAAAAGCAGGCATTACTCTAAGGAAAATTGCAAGGGTAGAGAACTATTAAAGACCACAGCTTCTGCTAAAACATTTTAACTCTGTTTCATGGGTAAATAGCTTTACATAATTCTATAATTGAGGTATGCAATTCAGTGTCTCCCTTTGTTTCTGTACCACCTTCTTTCTACTCTGTTATAGCAAGTGGCACTTTATTTAGTAATAATGAGTTTGGTTTGTTGCACCCCAGCCAAATCTATTCATTCTTTAGGGCAAGACTTGAGTTTTATTCATTTTGTATCACTAGCTCCTAGCACAGATGGCATTATAACATGTTTGTTGAATTGAATCATGCATGGGGTATTGTTTTTTGCTGGACTGCTGTGGATAGGATAAGAGAAACATATATGAGAAAATCACAAAGGGTGAGGGAAAGTCTGCTTCTTAGGGTTATGATTTCTTATGACTGATGAAAAGAACACTATCTGTTCCTAAAAGTCGCTGGACTTCCATGCCAGGTACAGTCTAGGCTGGTCTGGAAATGCACGACCCCAGCCTGAGGTGGGGCTGGTGCTGCCAAGCCAAGGGGCAGCTAAAGAGGGCACAGTTGAGGCAGCACTGAGCTGGTGCAGAGTGGGCACCTGGGCCTATGGCTTCTGCACAGGCCCAAATTTGACCAGCGACCTGTGCTGGGAAGAAGGCTTAGCAAACCAGCCACACCAGGAAGGGCCTTATTTATAAGCAAAGATGAGTGAATGCTGAGGAGACAACAGTGAGTCATCGGAAGATTTTAAGGTAAACCACTGTGGGTAGGCCACCCAAAGGTGGACTGGGAAGGTCAGGCTGGGGTAGTTTGTTGGAGTCAGGGAAACCAATCCAGGCAATACCGGAATAGTCTCTACTGAAGCTTGTGAAGGTATATATTTATAGAAAGGACTCCTTTTGCATCTTATAAAATTTTTGGAGCTTAGGTTGAAGGTTACCAAAAGAAGCCTAGATGAATACTGGAGGATGTTCTCTTCTTTGTATTTTTTAATAGACGGGGTGTCACTCTGTTGCCCAGGCTGAAGTGCAGTGGCTCAATCATAGCTCACTGAAGCCTCAAACTCCTGGGCTCAACTGATCCTTCCGTATCATTCTCCTGAGTAGCTGAGGCTACAGGCACAAGCCACCGCACCTGACCATAGTTTTTGAAACTGGTAGAGTCCAAGATACAACAGTCTTTTAAAACAGGACCAAGGACTAGTGCTTATTAGCAGAGAACCAAGTCTGCTCTGAATTTTTTATTTTAACAGGTGCATGTGAGGTGCTGCAAGCTGGCATGTGCAGATTGGAGCAGAGCTCTGCGAGTTTTTCCTGTAAAGGGTTATATAATATTTTAGGCTTTGAAAGCTTATAGGGACTCTGTTCTAAGTACTCAATTCGGCCTATATAGCACAAAAGTAACCAAAAACAATATGTAAATGAGCATTGTTGACTTCCAATAAATATTTATGGTACTCAAGTGTCAATTTTCACGTGTCACAAAATATTCTTTTTATTTTTTCAATCACTCAAAAATGTAAAACCTGTTTTTAGGTCATAGCCGTATAAAAACAGAAAGAATGCTGGATTTGACTAGCGGACCCGAGTCTGAAGAGCCCGTGATTAGAGTCAGGACCCTGCCCTCACCAGCTGCGTATCTTTGGTCACGTTACCTAAACTCTATGAGCGTTAGGTCCCGTGTCTATTTCCTAAGATTGTAACGCGGTTAATAAGAGCTAGAGGCTTGCCAAAGTGCTTTGTAGACCCGACAGAGATGCGCCAATCTTGACGGAGGCTCTGGCCACGCCACCTCGGCCAGCTCCCGCCCAGCAGCCGGTGCGCAGGCGCAGAGGCGGGCGGGCAGCTCCGCGGAGAGCGCGGACGTCACGTGAGGGTCCAGGGCGGCCCTGTTGCCTGGCGACGGCTTTGGGCTCCGAGCCTCAGCCGCAACCCTCCAGGCCTTCATTACGAGAAGCCCTGGCCATGGCCACGTCGGCTGACGCGCCCTTCTCTGTGGGCAACGGGGTGCCTGAGACTGAGAAGAGCGCGGGAGAGGCCGAGACCACCTATATTCTGCGGCCTGTTTTTCAGCAAAGGCGGGTACTGGATGGGACGTGGCCTGGGCGACCTAGCGAGTGCTGGTCGGATGGACACAGCTCGCCCGCGAGCCGGGGCATCAGCAAAGGAGAAAGCTGGGGATGGGCTGGGCAGGGAGGGGCGGGGTCCGGGGTCCGGGGCGGGGTCGGGGGCCCGGAGGCCGGAGCGGGGCCGGGGCGGGGCGGGGCGGGGCGGGGCCGGAGGACGGGGCGGGGCCTGGGCGGGGAGGAGATGGGAGGAACTGTGCAGCCTGACGAGGTCCGGCTCCGCTCCGGCTGCAGGGGGCAGCAGGAGATCTGACTCACCGTTGCAGTGTTTGGGCGCTGGGCGCGCCTTCATCTGGGAATGGTTGGCTCTAGGAAGCCCAGGACGTGCGCGTTTAGGAAAGGAGATAGGTAGAGAGGCAGAAAGCAAGCGAATCACAGCGAGTCACAGGTGGCATCCAGAGGCCCTTAGACAGCCGCACCGAAACCTTGCCGGAAGGCGCACAGTCTAGGGCAGAGGGCAGTCAGCTAGGTCTGTAGGATCCATCACTAACTTTATCATTATACGAAAAAAGAAAAGACTGAAAAAAAAAAAAAAAAAGATTGTCCAAGCCCCTCCTCTCTTGTTTGAAACCGGATTGCTGAATCTGATCTTTGGCAAGTCCTGGAAACCAGGAACTTTGGTTATTACGTGATAAAAAAAATTTCATACAGGGTTTTCTCTGGGGAAAAATAAGCACAGAAAAAGGTATGTTCAGTTATCTTGGTAAAAGGTTCTAAATGACAGGGCGCGGTGGCTCACGCCTGTAATCCCAGCACTTTGGGAAGCGGAGGTGAGAGGCTTGCCTGAGCCCACAGGTTGGAGACCAGCCTGGGCAACATAGCAAGACCTCGTCCCTACAATAAATAAAAAATTAGTCGGGCGTGGTGGTGAACGCCTGTAGTTCCAGCTACTTGGAAGGCTGAAGCAGAAGGATCATCTGATCCCTGCAGGTCTAGGCTGCAGAGGCTGTGAGCGTGCCATTGCCCTCCGGCCTGGGCTACAGAGTGAGACTCTGACTTTTAAAAAAAATTAATACCGTATTTTTCTCTTGGGGAAAATAAACACAGAAAAAAGTATGTTCAATTATCTTGGTAGAAAGGTCTCAGTTGCTGGGCGTGGTGGCTTACACCTGTAATCCTAGCACTTTGAGAGGCTGAGGCAGGAGGATTGCTTGAGCCTAGAAGTTCAAGATCAGCCTAGGGAACATAGTGAGACCTTGTCTCTACAAAAAATATAAAAATTAGCCATGCATGGTGGCAATCACCGGTAGTCCCACCTACTGGGGAGGCTAAGGTGGAAGGATCATTTGAGTCCAGGAGGCTGAGGCTGTGGTGACCCGTGATCATGTCACCACACTTCATTCAGTCATGTTTCTGTTGTAAAACAATGCAGGGCAAGATTAGCCATAAATATATATTATATAAGAATAATTCTATGAGCTTATGTGTGATTTATTTGAAGAAAACTTTAACATTTTACTGAGGATTGAAGGGTATAAGAAAAGAGGCAGATACAGTATATTTGTTAGTAAGACCCTATTTTGAACAGATCAAATCTTGGTAATTTGATGATGATTATAAAGTTCATCTGTGAGAATCAGCAGGCAAGAGCACAAAGGAAATACTGTTGAAAAGTAATGGGGGTGGGAAGTAATGAGGGGACAGTAGTCCTGGAAACATTTTAGTAAACTTGCACCTGATAGACAAATCAACTGATAGAATATATAGCCCATAAAAGGAACTGCATGTTGTAATAGTGGTGTAGTTAGGGTGGTGACATCAGGAGAGACTCTTCTCTGTCTTCATTCTTCAATAATCCATTCCTTTAAAAAATATTTACTGTCTATTTGCTGGGCATTGTTCTAGGAAACAGGGTTCTAACAGCAAACAAAACAGACAAAAATTCCTGCCTTCCTGGAGCTTGTGTCTAGCAGGGTTAAAGAACAAAAAATAAGAGAAATACATAAGTGGAGTATATAGTGTATCAGAGAGTAACAAGTGCCAGGAAGGGAGCTATGAAGTGATATGGTAAGAGAGCAATTTGGGGCTGGGTGCGGTGGCTCACACCTATAATCCCAGCATTTTGGGAGGCTGAGGTGAGAGGATTGCCTGAGCCTACGGGTTTGAGACCAGTGGGCAAATTGACGAGACCTCATCTCTACAATAAATCAAAAAATTAACCAAGCGTGCAGCTACTTGGAAGGCTGAGGCGGAAGGATTGTCTGAGCCCAGCAGTTTGAGGCTGCGATGGCTGTGAGCATGCCAATGCACTCCAGCCTGGGTGACAGAGTGAGACTCCAACTTGTGAGAAAAGAGAGAGAGAGAGATTTGAAGTTGTAGAGGGGTAGAGGGTTAGGTATATACAAATCACAGTGAGGATATTGGCCTTTACTCTGAGTGAGATGGGGAACATTTGGGGGCATTTTCAATAGAGGAGTATCATGAACTGATATTTATTTCAGCAGGGTCAGTCTAGCTGCTGTGTTGGAAACAGGACATAGGAGCACAGGCAGACACAGAGAGACTTGCTAGGAGGCCCTTGTAATTCAAGCAAGAGGTAATGGTAATGAGCAGGATGGGGTGGTGGGGTGGTGGATTTTAGATTATTTTGAAGGTAAAATTTAGATTATTTTGGAGGAAAGATAAGATTTGCTCATGAAGGGGATGTCAGCTCTGAGCGCCAATGAAACTGACACCAAGGTTTTTGGATAGAGCAACTGGAATAGTGGAGTTACCATTGGCTGGGATGGGGAGGATTGCAGGAGGTCCTAGTTTTGGGGGCAAGAGGAATATCAGAAACTCAGTATGGTTATATTAAGTTTGAGTTGCCTATTAAACATCTATATGGAATACATATTGGTTTGACGTTCAGGATAGGCCCAGACTGAAGAGATAAATTTAGGCTATGTCTTGTTTTCTTAATTTCTTTATATTACTTTCGTAACTAAAATATGAAAGAGAAGAATTAAATGGTAGTAATGACAGAAAGCTGGGAGAAGTTGAGGGGTGAAGGTAAGCTGGGGTTTTAAATTACGGATGAGATGTTCTCATATTGTTTCATTTAGGTTCAGGCCCTCTGTCGTTAAAGACTGTATCCATGCTGTGCTCAAGGAAGAGCTGGCAAATGCTGAATATTCTCCGGAAGAAACGCCTCAGCTCACGAAATGTTTGTCAGAAAACATTAAAGATAAATTAAAAGGTAATCATGGTGATGATTGGAAATGACTTCTTCCCTTCAAACACTCAGCTTTAACCGTTTGCCTCTTTCCCCATCTTTAAACAAGGGGCGTAAGCTATGAACTCTATTAAAGATAAATTTCTCTTCAGTGTCTAGTCTTCTGTAATTATTTGGTGGCTTTTACTCATGTAGGTTTTTGCAGATAGTGGGAAAGAGTAAAGCTGTGAAATAAAACATTGTAGGGAACAGCTGCTGAAGATGTCTGAGTGTTTTGGAAGGCCAGGAGGTACAGGAACGCCTTTCCTGCATTACTCCTGCCTTTTTTTTCCACTAAGCTATCAGTTCCTTAGCCTGGCATTCAGTGCCCTCACTGTCTGTCCTCAGTCTATGTCGCCAGCTGAATCCCTACTTATCTTACTCAATCCTCCACTCCTGCCAAACTCTACATCTGCAGAGTGTATTTTGTGCTTTTCCTACCATGTTCTCTTTGTCTGGTGTGTGTGTGTGTGTGTGTGTGTTGTATTATAAGAAAGTTTTTTATTTCTGTCTGCTCTTTTTTAAAGGTATCATTTTTGAGAGGAAAACATATCTTTGTAAGAGTAATACATGCTTATTGTAATAAAACTAGACAATACAGAAAAGTGTACATGTAGGTTAAAAATTAGCTAAAATTATATTACCTAAAGGCAGTTTCTATTTAATATCTTTGTGTAAATGTCAAAAAAATGAAGAAATTATGGCAGAGGAAAGCTAATAGATTTGGAAGACAAAGATAATTCAACATAACAATTTTTGGTGTCTTGAATTTGGCATCAATATTTGGTTCACTATTGGAACAAGAAATGTATTTAGAGATATAAGAAAACTTCCTTGATATGAAAAAAAAAAAAAATCTGAAGATTGGAAGCTGTGAAATGCCCAGTACCATGCCAGATCCTAGAAAAACTGTTGAGCATAAAGGTTAAGGTTAGGATTCCTTAAGCAGAGAACATCAAGCTGGCCTCAGATTACTTGATCAAGGTAAAATTCAATGTCAGAAGACAATGAATCAAAGTATACAAGATTCAAGAAAATAACTTATTACCTTAAAAATATTATATTTATCCATAGTATAGTCTACTTTAAAGGCAAATATTCTCAACCATGAAAGAACCCACAGAATACAGCGTTTATGAGTCCTTCCCGAAAAAAACTTACAACAAAATCTCATAATGTTAAGAGTTGAACCAAAGCAAAGAACTTAGCAATGGAAACGACATGGTAAAATAACTCAATAGTGGGCAATCAATCCATTTAAATATAGAAGGAGTACTATCTGGCAACGGGAACTAGGTATAGTACCCCTTTGTTGTCATTTATCTATATATACACACACAGAAGAGAAGTCTGCTATGATATTCACTTAATATTAATGATTACTTACGGATGGTGTCATTTGGGGTGATTTTTCTCATTTTATTTATTTGTCTACAGTGTTTCAATTTTTGTAATGAATGTGTATCTAAAAACAAAAATGCTAATATGTTCATAGTAGTTAATTCTGGATGATGGAAATACATAGCATGGCTATTTTCTTCTCTGTACTTGCCTTTTATTTTTTTTGAGTTGGAGTCTCACTCTGTTGCCCAGCTGGAGGGCAATGGCATGCTCACGGCCACCACAGCCTCAACCTTTTAGGCTCAGGCGATCCTTCCACCTCAGCCTTCCAAGTAGCTGCAACCACAGGCATCTGCCACCATGCCTGGTTAATTTTTTTGATATATTGTAGAGACGAGGTCTCCCCAAGTTGCCTAGGCTGGTCTCGAACCCCTAGACTCAGGCAATCCTCTTGCCTCTGCCTCCCAAAGTGCTGGGATTACAGAGTACCACATCCAACTTGCTTGTGCTTCTCGTAAGCCAGTAATTCCATGTTCATTTGTGTCTTGCCTCTTGCCATTTTGAATTTATTAGTTCTGCAGTGGTGTTGTCTGGGTATTCAGTTTGTTTCCTAGGGCTGTGATCTTCTTCATCTCTTTCTGTTGCTTTATAGCCTGATTGAGTTTTTGTTTTATTGAATTTGTAAGCTTATGTTGTTCTATATTGTGAGGAACTGCTCTTTATTCCTTGATTTGTATTATTTTCTAAGTTAGATATTTTTGTCTTTTACACTGTTTCTTTCTTGTTATTCTTTTGTTTGGTTTTTTGTGCATCTTTGCATATTGCCATTCAGCTTCATTTTGCTCTGCCTGTATATCATAATTGCTTTGCAGTGGTGCAGGTGATTTCTTTTTAAGTTCTTCTCCCACCGTATCTGGGACTATTTTATTGTCCCCTCAGAACTGTGATGTAAGCACTGGGTATTACTATTCTAACCACACTTCTATAGCATTAAAGATTGGTTAAAGAAAGGAGGAAACTCAGCTGAACTGTATGCAGTGTTTGTCAAAAATAACTTGGGGTCAGGTGTGGTGGCTCACACCTATAATCCCAGAACTTAGGGAGGCCCAGGGGAGAGGATTGCTTGAGCCCAGGAGTCTGAGACCACCTTAGCAACATAGCGAGACCTGGTCTCTACAAAAAAATACAAAAAGTAACTGGGTGTGATAATGCATGCCTATAGTCCTAGCTACTAAGGAGGCTGAGATGGAAAGATTCTCTGAGCCCAGGAGGTCAAGGGTGAGGTGAGCCATGCTTGTGCCATTGAATTCCAGTCTTGCGACAGAGTGAAATCCTTGACGCAAAAACAAACAAAATGAGCTCTGTCTTCAAAGATTTTGTTAAATATCCTGAATATCCTGAATTAGGGTTCATGTTCCACATGAGAGGTTGTCTGTAGTCTTTAGGTTGTTTGCCCAGTTTATTACATATGTAATCCTGGAACCTATATGTTCATAAAAGGCAGTTGGCTCTGTATCAGCTTTGCCCATTTCACTTTTTTATTTTTCACTCCTCTTTCTTCTATTCCCTGGCCAGAAAAGTAGAAAGATAAAAACACTCATTTAGTTTTCTTCTCTCCAGATTTGGTGTTTGTGAGAATTTTCGGGATTTTGCTGCTTTAGCAGTTTTGTTGCTGGGGCAAGCAGCTGAGTTGTGCTGAGTTGTGATCACCTCATTATACTCCAGAAACTTAATTTCTTCTCTTTTCTACCTTACCGAATAGCTTATAGTTTCCTGGAGATCCCATGCTTCTCATGCGTTTGCACATGCTGTTCCATTTCCATAAAATGGAGAGACATAGTTGACCTAGCAAACTTAAACTCATCCTTCAAGACCCAGCTTAACTGTCTATGACATCCTCCGAGAAATCTTTTCTAGTCATTTTTGATTGTTGCTCAGACACTCGGCTCAGACACTCGGCCCTTTTATAAGCAACTCCTTGAAGCATAAGTATATTGCATTTTCACTCCATTTTTCCATTTCCCATTGAGTTCTTTACTATTGTGAGTTATTTAAGGCAAGAATAGTGTGTTATTTATCACTGTATCTTGAAGATCTAGCTCAGTACTTGACTTAGAGCAGGGGAAAAAGGAAGGAGGCTAAGTTTTATTGAGAGACTACTATGTGTCAGAACTTTTGTACATGCTTAATATTACTGTATCTTATCTAACCTTACAACAACCCTCGGAGGTAGGTAATGATATTTCCATTTCATGAAGGAGACTTAAACTGAAAAGTTAAATTACTTGTCTGAGGTAATACACTTGGTGAGTTTATCGTTAGAATCTGTGTTCAGATCTCTCTAACTCCCAGTCTTACCATCATTACTCATAAAGTACTTGTGGATTGAATGTTTATGTCCATTTCTGGGCAGATTTTTCCTCAGTAAGTAATTTTAGTACGTATTTGCTGATAAGTAACTTGCTTATTTTTCTTTCTAGAAATGGGATTTGACCGATATAAAATAGTGGTGCAAGTAGTGATTGGAGAACAAAGAGGTGAAGGAGTGTTGTGAGTAGTTTATTTTTTCTTCTTGTTTTTATTCATCTATGTTTCTTATGAGGTATTCGTCCTTTGACAATTCAGTAAGATTGTGTCTTTGCAAGAGTGAGAGCGTAGAAGTACAACAGTATACTGTAGTATACTACTTGTATACTTGTAGTATAAAAACGCAGCTGTACGGCTGGGTATGGTGGCTCAAGCTTATAATCCCAGCACTTTGGGAGGCAGAGGCTAGAGGATTGCCTGAGCCCACGGGTTCAAGACCAGCCTGGGCAACATGGTGAGACCTCATCTCTACAATAAATCAAAATATTAGCTGGGTGTGATAGTACATGCCAATAGTTCCAGCTACTTGGAAGACTGAGGTGGAAGGATCGTCTGAGCCCAGCAGGTCAAGGTTGTAGTGGCCGGAAGTGTGCCGCTACACTCCAGCCTAGGCAACAGAGTAAGACTCCAACTAAAAAAAAAAAACTGCAGCTGTGAATGGAAGAGGTCCTGGTACTGAAGAGTAAGCTTGAAAATCTGGTGAGCTCTTTAGGGTAACTCATTTTTCATAGTATCTGTAGGCCAATAAGTCTTTTAGGGTTTGTGTACATATGCTTCCATAAAGAATATCAGGTTTTGTATATTTTTCCTCCCATATTTCTTGTTGCCCTGGTTTTGGACCTAAATAAATAAATAAATAAATAATTTTTTGAGTTGGAGTCTCGCTCTGTCACCCAGACTGGAGTGCATTGTCTGCTCCCGGCCACTGCCGCCTCGACCTGCTGGGCTCCGGCAATCCTTCCGCCTCAGCCTTCCGGGTTGCTGGAATTACAGGCGCGTGCTACCACGCCCGGCTAATTTTTGATTTATTGTAGAGATGAGGTTGCCCAGGCGGGTCTCGAATCCGCAGGCTCAGGCAATCCACTCACCTCAGCCTCCCAAAGGCGCGGGATTACAGGCTGAGCCACCAAGTCTGGCTTAAATTAATTTATTTAAAGCTCTTTGAGACCTCTGTATTAGCAAATCTAATAGCCCTTTCTTAGCTCTTGTTCTTGGCCTTGACTTCTGTTTCTTAAAATTCACTTTTTTTAGCCGGGCTCGGTGGCTCAGCCTGTAATCCCGCGCCTTTGGAAGGCTGAGGTGAGTGGATTGCCTGAGCCCGCGGGTTCGAGACCCGCCTGGGCAGCGAGATCTCATCTCTACAATTAAAAAAAAAATCAACCGGGCGTGGTAGCGCATGCCTGTAATTCTGGTTACTTGGAAGGCTGAGTCAGAAGGATCGCCCAAGCCCAGCAGGTTGAGGCTGCGGTGGCCGGAAGCGGCCACTGCACTCCAGTCTGGGTGACAGAGTGAGACTCCGACTCAAAAAAAAAAAAAATTCACTTTTTTTGGGGGGGTCCAGTTATCTAGCTTGTTTTTCTAACTGCTTATTCTCATCTTTCAGTGGCTTCTGTTTCTTTCCTGCATCCTTAGCTACCAACTGTCTTTAAGGCTCAGTTCTTGTTCCTTTGCTTTTCTTGGTGCTTTCTCCTCCCTCCCTCTTCCTTTTCTTCCTTTTCCCTCCCCTTCCCCTTCCCTTCCCGTTCATCAGGGTCTTACTCTGCTGCCCAGGTTGGAGTGCAGTGGCACGATCACAGCTCACTGCAGCCTTGAACTCCTCGGCTCAAGTGATCCTTCTGCCTCAGCCTCCCAAGTGACTGGGACTACAGGTGTTTGCCACCACTTCTGGCTAAGTTTTTCATTTTTTTGTGGAGATGAGAACTTGCTATATTGCCCAGGCTGGTCTTGAACTTATAGGCTCACGCTGTTCTCTTGCCTTGGCCACCCAAAGTACTAGGATTACAGGCGTGAGCCCCATGCCCAGCCTTGGTGCTTTTTCAATAAGCACATTCATTTCCATGATGTCAAACTATCATTCCTGTATTGGTGAGTTCAAAATCTATCTACCTTTCTTTTCCTATGCCCAAGTGTTAATCCTCCATCTCCCTTTGTAAACAGTGTCCAGCATAGTATTTTGTAAGAGAGTACTAAAATATTTGTTAAATGAATTTTTAAAAATATCTTGTAGATGTTATCAATGAGAATTTTCACTTTAGAATGTTAGATATGGAAGGCACTATTGATATTTTCTAGTGTTCATCCTCCTTATTTTATAGTTGACACTTCTGAGGTTTAGCATGATTTGCCTAAAATTTTATCTGGCCTGTGTCAGGGTCACTAATAGAGCCCAGTCTTGTGACTCCTAGCACATTACTCTTTACCATAGCAATCTCTACTCCTTGTTAAAAGGTTTCAGGGAATTTCCTACCACAGAGAGACCTAGAAATACTTTACTGTTCTGTCATCTCAGAGTCAACATGTTAAAAAATAATTCCTGATTTATTTCTCCCTCCTTAAATCAGCCTATCATTTTAATTTTTCCTGTCTCTCACAGTATTACCGAGGTTCCATGAACTCAGGGTCACATCCTTGGAGTCATCTTTTATTGTATTAGTCATTCCTCTGACTCTCTCTCTCTCATTGCATGCACTGTAATCTGGCTGCCAGGATTACTAAAAGCCCCTTATCAGCACTTCCTGACTCTGGTCTCTCTCCTTCACAGTTCATTCTGCATTCCAGACCAGTGTTCCTGGAATACACCTCACTTTCTTTCCCTAAATGCTACAGAGTTTCTTATTTTAAGCCTTATCAAATATAAACTCCTTAAACTGGTTAAGATTGACTTTGTTAAATATGATCAGGTCAAACTCTAAAGCATAGCTTACAAGGTCTCTCCCCCTTTTAAAAACTTTTATCATCTAGAATTTCAAATGTATGAAAAAGTGCAGGGACTAAAAAAAATCTCTCAGTTTCTATTACTTAGCTTCAATAGTTACCAACACATACTGATGTTTTATTTTACGCCCTTACCTACTCTCTTTGCCCCTAACTAGGTTATTTTGAAATTCTAGTTATCATTTCATTTAATTTGTGAATACAATAGTATATATATCCCTAACAGATAAAGCCCTCCATTTTTTTTTTTTTTTTTTTTTTCAGTTTTATCTTTTTGAGTCAGGGTCTCACTCTGTCACCCAGGCTGGAGTGCAGTGGCATGATCACAACTCACTGCAGCCTCAACCTTCTGGGCTCAGGTGATCCTTCTACCTCAGCCTCCCAAGTAGCTGGGACTACAGGTGCACACCACCATGCTCGACTAATTATGTTGTTTTTTGGTAGAGATGAAGTCTCAGTGTGTGCTTAGACTGGTCCTGAACTCTTAGGCTCAAGCCGTCCTCTTGCCTTAGTCTCTCAAAGGGCTAGGATTACAGATGTGAGCCACCACGCACGTCAAGGCCCCTTTTAAACATAATAAATCATGATCACCTCTAAAACATTGTCAGACCTTAATATAAAATATGTGATTAGTGTTCAAGTATCTTCAATTTTGTCACATGTATGTGTATATATATAAAAATATGTGTGAGTTGTTTTTTTTTTAAACAATTTGCTTGAATCAGGATTCAGATAAGGTCCATATATGTATCTTAATTTTTTATTTATTATTTATTTATTTATTTATTTGAGTTGAAGTCTCACTCTGTCACCCAGACTGGAGTGCAGTGGCTGCTCTCGGCC